TAAAGAGTTGGATTCTCATGCTAAGCATGGACAAAGTTTCAAAAAACTATTTGGACGTATGACGGAGTATTTCTGTGCCAAAAATTTTATTTTCATGTTTTCTTGTTTTTGAGTCATCACTCCGGCCTGACAGGGCATCACAATATGGTGATGCTTGAGGTATTCGGCCAATCACAACGCACTGGATAGCTGGCCAATCACAGCACACCTCGCTTTTCAGAACGATGAGCTTTGTAAAAATCAACGCGTTTCAGAAAGGCGGGGCATAGAGGAGAAACAATAATGTACAGTATGTGGAAAATAATGTGTTTTTTGAACCTTCCATTACACCAAATAATGTTCTTTTTAGCAACATCATATGACCCCTTTAAACTGATCAAAAGTGACAGTAATAACATTTATAATGTTACAAATGATATCCATTTCAAATAAACTTCTTTCTTTTGAACATTCTATTCAAAAGAATCCTGAAAAGGCACCAAATCTTGGAATTTTAGTATTAGGCCTATTTCTGAAGGATTATGTGACTGATGTACGGGTAGCTGAAAGTTCAGCTTTGCCATCACAGGAGTAAATTACATTTTAAAATATATTCTAATAGAAAATGCGTTATTTTAAATTGTAATAATATTTCACAATATTACTGTATTTGAATTAAAATAAATGCAGTCTAGGTGAGCATAAGAGACTTTCAAAAACATTTAAAAATCCTACAGATAGATATCATATATTTGTTGTACTAAATATCATACTGATACTCAGATCAACAACACTTTTGCTTCTGTAAAACTGCTTAATTATGTAATACTGTAATACTTACAGTATGTAACTAATGTAATATTAATTCAGGAACATAAGGAAAGCACTTTTGCCTTTTATTTATGTCAAAGTATCCGTTTCCCCTCACTTTGTGTGTGAAATGCGGTTGGCAACATCCAAACAACAAGTTCAAACTCTTCTCTTTTATGTTACTGGCACGGTTTAACCTACAGTGCTGAAACATGGCACTGTACAAAACATCCCTTTATCCACAAGTCATATTCAGCTATTTAATTTACTTGGGTCCAGCAGATCAAGACAGCATGTTTTTTTTCACCTCCAGTCACAGCATCAGTGGATTTGGATGCTGCAGCAGTCAGGGTGTCGCTATGCCAAGATGATTAGAGCAGGTGTCAGACCGGGGCACAAAAAAACCTTCTGCTGCTTTGTGATTAATGAAGCCTCTCTAAATTATGCTCTGGATGCCTATTGATTTGGCACTGCATCTGGCCTGGAGATGAATTCATCTGCAAGAAAATATGAAAGACTCGCAAGCCCTGCTCAGCCAGTCCAGAGCCTGTGGCATTCATCCTCCGGCTAATTAGCCTGTGCTGTAGTCATGTGCCCTTGTGCATTCAGCGCCACTGGCCTAAATTGCAGTGCAATGGTGGACTGATATTTATCAATCCGTAAATAAGCCACATTCAACTGGAAATTCATAACACAGTCAATGTTTGGAAAATATAGCTTGTATTCTTAAGTTTGTGTTTTGCCTTTTTTATTAGAGAGATACTGATGATAAACTGGAAATTATTAGAGAGAGAGAAGAGGGATGTGATTTGTGTGAATTTCACGACAGATTCAAACTTCTTAATCATCTGTATCAGCATGGCTCCAGTGTGTTAAAAGCTTGCACGCTGTTGCAACAATTTGTCCTTTTTCTAATAGCCATGCCAATATAATGCTATAAAAACTGTGATAGTACTTTCTGTAACTTAAAGGATTAGTTCACCCAAAAATGAAAATTAGCCCATAAATTACTCACCCTCAAGTCATTCTAGGTGTACAGTGGTGTGAAAAAGTGTTGGCCCCCTTCCTGATTTCTTATTTTTTTGCATGTTTGTCACACTTTAATGTTTCAGATCATCAAACAAATTTAAATATTAGTAAAAGATAACACAAGTGAACACAACATGCAGTTTTTAAATGAAGGTTTTTATTATTAAGGGAAAACAAAATCCAAAAATACATGGCCCTGTGTGAAGAAGTGTTTGCCCCCCTGTTAAAACTGTGGTTTATCACACCTGAGTTCAATTCAAAATGCAAAACTACATGGCCCTGTGTGAAAAAGTGTTTGCCCCCTAAACCTAATAACTGGTTGGGCCACCCTTAGCAGCAACAACTGCAATCAAGCGTTTGCGATACTGTTACAGAGCTGTGGAGGAATTTTGGTCCACTCATCTATGCATATACATTGGAGGGTTTTCGAGCAGGAACCGGTTTAAGGTCATGCCACAGCATCTCAATAGGATTCAGGTCAGGACTTTGACTAGGCCACTCCAAAGTCTTAATTTTGTTTTTCTTCAGCCATTCAGAGGTGGACTTGCTGGTGTGTTTTGGATCATTGTCCTGCTGCAGAACCCAAGTTCGCTTCAGCTTGAGGTCACGAACAGATGGCCGGACATTCTCCTTCAGGATTTTTTGGTAAACAGCAGAATTCATGGTTCCATTTATCACAGCAAGTCTTCCAGGTCCTGAAGCAGCAAAACAGCCCCAGACCATCACACCACCACCACCATATTTTACTGTTGGTATGATGTTCTTTTTCTGAAATGCAGTGTTACTTTTACGCCAGACGTAATGGGACACACACCTTCCAAAAAGTTCAACTTTTGTCTCGTCAGTCCACAGAGTATTTTCCCAAAAGTCTTGGGGATCATCAAGATGTTTTCTGGCAAAACTGATGGGCTAATTTTCATTTTTGGGTGAACTAACCCTTTAATGACGAACGTCTATAAATCAAGATTATTATTTAATATGACTGAATCAACTTGACGTCATTGGGCTACACCAAAACCGGGTTAGATCAAGCAGAGATAACCCTTTATGCAAAAACTGCACAAATCCACTTTTAACAGTGTAGCTACTAAACACACAAAGTGTGAATGACTTAGCATAGTTTCTATGAAAACACAGATGAGCTCAATGACAGCACTGCTCATGCTTATACAGAGAACAGAAAACCTAAACTTTCACACATGCAGTAAATTACTGTTATTTATCAGCACAATTTTTTACAGTAGCATTACTTAAGTAAAATTTACAAACAATGAGTCAATAAAATTTACTGGGAATTCCCAAGTAAACTTAACTTTAAAAAGTCTACTTAAAGCTACTAACAATTATGTTTAGGCTTTGGCAAATTTTTGTAAATTAACTAGCCTTTTCTGAGTGAAAATTGTTTCCAGGCTTTTTTCCAAGTAAATTCTACTCCAAATTTGTTTCAGTGCATTAAATCCAGAGTAACTACAAGGGATGGTGAGAACACCAAAGTTAATGGAATCCTGAAAGTTTTAATGATGTAGAGGCAGCCACTGCAATGTGTTTCATAATAGCTCAAAACAAATAAGATGAAAGCCAGCATGCTGAGTGAATGAGTCACATACAATGCGTTGACAAAATGCTGCCTAAAACAAAAAGAAAAATTAACTCCTGGCAGTATTCAACAAAGTCTGCTGTACATTTACTACAAACACTAATAATAAAAAATACATGAGGATATGCTGGAATTATATAGCATAATGCTAAGATAGCTGTCTGTTCATTCTGTGCCTAAAGGAATGGATTTCTTTTGTTTGCCTCAAGAACAGTTTTTTTTTACTAATACTTAATGAACAATATTTATGAACAACATTTTTTCAAAATAAAACAAAGCAATCACTCATATTTATTTCTGATCAGCACTGCATTTATATTAGTGAGTCTATGGAAAAATTTAATTAACTTGACAAAAAGAATCAAAGAGAACCGATTCTTTGAAAGAATCCAAGTCAAGTCACTCTAGATTTTCTATTGTATGGTAAACTATAAAAATATCTATTAGAAGTTGCTTGCTTTTAAGTTCGATTATTATTTTGCATTTACTTTTATGCAAAAACAAATTAATTATTAATTTATACAAAAGAGGAACAAAAGGAATTTGTCCGTTTGCCAACAACATTGGTAATATACAGTGCCAGGTTTATTTTAGAGGTAATCGGGCTATACTACACTGTGGGATTTCATCAGTCGGAACAAAGGAGCACAGCATATTCATGTCGTTGTAAACTGAAATGAAAACCCCTCAGCAGACAGCATGCACATCAATTAATCGCGCGGAGGTTTCTTTGGCAACCCTGTAGCCCCTTTGTCTCCATGGCAATGGTTGGCCAGTTTACAACCCGTTGAAGCGCGGCTGTTTCAGAGACATGCAGAAGCTCAGTTTTACGCAATAGGTCATTTGCGCAGTAGCTACCCAAACAAACGATTAAGCGTCATCACACAGCGCAGATCGTTGCAAATGTGATAAATATTTGAACAGTTAGTCAGACCTACCTTAATGTGCAAGGAAGGACAAAGGGGAATTTGAATGGAATATTCATTGGTTTTATTGCAGATTACGTTAAAGCGACAGCCCAATCATTCATCTCTGCAGAACAGACTGAATGAAATTTGTGCGGTCTTTATCAGGTGGCAGTTTTTTGTTATTCAGCAGAGCTGCTAATCATTATGTATTATTCTCATAAACGTTTTACATTTATATTTGCCAATTTCAATTCTGCTTTTATGTTTTCACAATTGAGCAACAATGCAATGAGTGGAAGATGAATGAGATCACGGTCGCTTTAAACCTGTGAGAGCAATCGAGACGTTTCAAGACTCTTCTTACCCTTTGAAGCATCCTTTTCTTCTTTAGGCTTAGCCACTTTTCCGCTCATAGATCCCAGTTTGGATGTATAGATCCCGATTCAGATTAAAACCCGAAATCCTTCAGTCGAGTATACCCACTGTCGCTTTAGGAAATCCTTGGCAAATCCAAAACAAAGGTGCCAGGTGAGGAGATAAGAGCTCTGCAAGAAACACATTGTAAATAAACAAAAGTGCATTGGGGGGGGGGGGTTAACATCAGAGGGAAAGTGATGGTTCTCGTACCTTCTATCGACATTTATCAACCGCCGTCAATGCAGTTAAACACACAGACTATACAGAAGTCGAGTTTACAAAGCGCGTGGTAGTAACAAGTCCGCCAATGTCACAATCAAACGCAGACCTTCACGTAGTGCTCTTTGTTATCAACAAGGTTATCTCACCTTATCTCTTCCACGGTGTCTCCTACATTAATGCACATTGATATAGACAAACGGCTCCCGCGTGAAGCTCGAGGTGATGAAAATAAGACGAACCCTCTCGAATGAAGCAAAACCGGAGAACAAAAAGCGCGAGGGAAGGAGAGGGACTTCCACCGAGTGTCAGTCGACGTCAGCTGTGACACACTGGACGCGAGCGCTGATAAAACCTGGGGAACCACCTTTTGATAGCTACTGTAACAGAGATATTCACAAATGTACTAGCCTGTTGCCAGCATTTGCAGAAACTGGGTCTGATGTAAAACACGCCACGCTAGTGTGAGCAACAATCTTCAATCTTTATTACAGACTCAAGGTCCACATAAAAACAGATATTGAGAGTCAAAATAGCGGTCTACATCGATTGTAGAGGGAAAAAAATCACTGCTATCCATAATAAGGGATATTTATAAGATATAAGATATTTTTAAGAAAAATAGGATACTCTATCGATGCAAAAAATTCCAATAATCCCCGAATTCCAATGCGCATTTTATATTGAATAGACTTATCGATTGCCCTAATTAAAGCTCGAACCCCCATGGAGGTGAAAACGAAAGATTGGCCCGTAAAAAGTAGTAGGCTATAGGCTATGGCCTTCATTTTAGGCCAAATAGCATACCCTAAATCGCTATTATTATTCTATAAAATGTAATCTAAAACATTGTGCTGCCGAAAATAATTGTTAAAATTGCAAATTTAGCAAAAAGCAGATAAAATTACTTTTTCATTATAAAAGTGGTATTGTACAGGTAAAAAACAAGGATGAGCTTGAGAAGTCAAGATGCATGAGAGAGAGATGCTGTGGGCTACTGAAAAAGCTCTCAAAGTATGGTGTGAAAATAAGTTTGCGTGTCTTCCTCGGTCTATCTTCCACATTCTTTTCAAGTGTGTAGGCTAACAAACTATTTGTGCTCTCACAAGACAAACACAAGCTTTTTTTCTCTCCATGTGGTACCAATGATAGCCACTGGAGGCATGTGTTTGAAGCGCCCCCGCCTCCACCTCCGCCCCCCAGCTGAACCCCCGGATAGTCTTTGTATAAGTGGCACCCTGTATAATATAAATTCCTTCTGAATCCACAGTTATGAAACATTAAAGTAGCTCTGTCTAGGCTATCCGCCCAAAATACCCTTGATCAAATACACTGGTAATCTTTCTGCAGATTATGACGCGCACAGGATTTTTGCAGGCTTCATTAATAAAGTCCCCAGAGTCTTTTCCTAACCATATTCACAAAGGGATACTAATGAAGCTAACGAGGCTCCGGAGTTTACTTTCTAATGTGCGAAAACTTGTAGTTGGATATCTGCACAATATCTCGAGAAACATATTCAGATGTTGAAGTTAATTAAAAACATTACACGAGAATACTTGTAATATTTGAATGGGAAAATATGCTTCCGTGTGGCTATCTAACATGCCATAAAATGAGTTAGGGCACGTTTTGAAGTATGCATACGATCCCTTGAAAACGCATCTTCCAGGAATGTTACGGTCCGGAGTCACTAAATAATGTCAAGGCGAATATGATTTCGTATTGACTACAATGTAGTTCCGACACAGTCTCTCATTTAAAATATATTTTAACTTACCTGTTTATTCGATGAAGAGAGGCATAAGACCGATGAATTGCCCTCGTTCTGTCTTCCACTCTAGGTAACTCAACCACGCTTAAATTCTCCACGTATTTTAATCACTTTGTCCGCTTTTAACACCTATTGAACCACAAATGTTTCCCTTTGAAATACTGTTTTTCTCTGCTAATTTGGAGTTGACAGTAAGCGACATCAGACTCGGTGTTTATCTCCTGACGGATTGTACTCTTTTGCGGCACTGAGTGGAAGGAAACAGACGATGGTTTCAGGATCCATACTTGCTATTTTTAGGGACAGTTGGACACCTTTCAAAGTTTCATTGACCAGACTTTCTTTCACCTGACTCTGTCCGGGGCTTTAAACTGACAGTGCTGGGTTTGTAAGGAACCAAATTATACAATAAACAAGGGTTTTGAAAGATTATTGCAATATTCTGAGCACTTTATATCCCACCAGTATGTAACTTTCTGACCTCCCACAAAATCTTTAAAGGGGTCATATGATGCAATTTCATTTTTTCCTTTCTCTTTGGAGTGTTACAAGCTCTTGGTGCATAAAGAAGATCTGTAAAGCTGCAAAGACTAAAGTCTCAAATCCAAAGAG